TAGTTATAATAGTTATAAAGACTGTTAAATAAGTGGCTATTAATATCAAACGCGATATTGTGGGGTACGTACGATTTAAAATTTAAAAAGATGACTTCATCTAATCCTTCTTCGGTTAACTTACTTGATAATGATGCTAATGATGGCAATTTTTGGTGGAAAACCATCTTACCGCCTGCAGTTGGTTTTTTGAAATACACATAGCTAAACCGGGTACCACGTACTATCATTTATTCTGATATTTTATTTTACGGTAAACGCCGTTGCTGCCCATGAACGAATTAAAAAGACAAGCTATCTTTTCATGAAAAATAGTAACAGACAACATGGACACAAACAACAAAAATAGGTACCTTTTTTGACAGTCATCTTCACATACAAATTCGTTTAAGGGACAATGTATACGCGTTTATAATAGACCCTGGTTCTATTCAAAATTTGACATTTACGTAGTTTAATAATGTGAAACTTTATACAAAAGGTATATCGTTTCTGCCTACATGGATGACAAAAACCCAGAGGAGCGATCAGTTGTGTCAGGTTATTTATAACTAGAAAATTCTAAAATAAATATTGCAAATGATAAATGTGAAACAATATAAGAGCATCCCTAGAGTTACTTACTTATTCTTCTCAGTGGAATCTGCCTTACAAAAGAATAATAGTGTTTAATAAATTCCACGATATCAAGTGTCTACTTTTTTTTTCTTTTTTTTTTTGCATTTTCAGCTTAAGCTTTCATACATTTTCTACGAAATGAGACCTTAAACTCACCAAAAATATTTTGTTTTTATCTCAAAAGGCCAATTTGCGATCAAAGTCTGTCTGGATTAAAATGACAGTTAATTGTGCAAAAGTGTTACCTTCTTGTGAGTAGCTAGTGATTGCAGTCGATAAATATTCTATCGACTAACGACTGAATGTTGGTCACGCTTATGGGGCAAATAGCCGACCCGTTATTCATCCAATTACTGAGCACAAGGTTATTTGAATTGTCATTTTTTGTAAGTTCATACATACACACACTGTATTTAGAACTATGTTTATGAAAAATATAAAGAAGAGACATATTTTACAGTTTTTCATTTTAATTTAATGTGGATAATCAATGATATCTCGTACATGAATAAAATTTGAGTAGTAGGCTAACTGTCGTAACATTCGCAATTCAGTAATTTTTGGCAAAATGTTATATTCTTTCACAATCTATCGATAAAACTATCGACAACACTACATAACTATTTAAAAGTTTATGAAAACTGGCAACCATACAAATGTCATTTTACTCCGTCTTCACAAAAGACAGACTACGGTGACTTTATTATCATGCCCTATTATAAATTAAAATGATTAGAATTTTTTTTAAAGTAAATATTTCATTAAAGAGAAATTAGAATCTCTAAATTTTTTTGACAACATTATAGACATTACTCTCCCGCCAGGCAAAATTGTTTTAAAAAGGAAACAGATCAGAATAAAAAACCGTTTGTCACTCCTACGCACTTCAAATATAATATACGATGCCCGATATGAAAGACTTTATGTCCCAAAAGTTTTGACTAAATTAACATTGTGAAGACAAGACAGTGCCGGATAAACTATAAAATTGTTGAGTACCTACTGCATTATATCTCGCGCAATTAAGTCCACACCCCCACATGGGAAGCATTGTAGTTATTTACGCAACGTTTTTTTGTACAGTGAGACAAGGCAAGAGAATGACAATAACACACTGCAATGATACCGTCAAGACAACGTTACGTTGGTGAAAGCCAAGCCATGAAAACCGGTGAAATTAATTAATGCAAGAGCCCGTTTGTAACAAGACAAACTTATTTCTTTGTTAATTTATTACCTGTAAACTCGACGAACGTCTGGTTTTTTCTTCATTTAATAAAAACAAGCGCAAATAATACACATATATTTCTAGACGTTAGCACTCTGAGCACTGGATGGGAACAATCGGGTATGGACATACGGTAGGACCAATTTAAAATACAAACTTTTTTCTGGGCGTTCGAGGTGGTATCTCCGGAATTAATTAAATCACTATCGTGCTCATAGGAAAGCCGCTGGAGATCAGATAATGATTTGATTGTTTAACACATCATGAGTATTCTAAGTTACTTCTTAAGGTATCGGTTTATGCAGTTGACTATGTACTTACATACCATCACGCCTGTCTCTCACTGCTAAGCAAAGACCATGAACCTCCACATGCTATGCTCCTGAAAAACCTCTTTCGCCTCTTCCCCTCACATCAGTCTCTTCATACGTTTAGTCTACATACTTTTCATCTGATCTTTTTAAAAGCAATCCCCAATCTGAGCGAGATACATAAGTCTACCTCTTCCTAGGTTTTCATCCAAGTTCGCTGTATAAATGTATATACTATGTACTTTTCTTTTATTTATTTTTTATTATAGCAAGTGACGGGACGAAAGCGACACGGTTGTTACCTTGCGACATAAGTTGACAAGTCCCATGTGCCTGTAATTTCACCAGCACCCTTACCCTTCAAAATCGGAACGTAGTCATCATCAATCATGCTCACTTACTGCTTTGAGGCAAAAATAGGTAAGGGATGAACTCCTTCACAAAGAGCTCTACTGCTAATAAGATTGTCAGCCTGGACATTTGTCCGAAGTAAGTAAGTAAGTAAGTAGAATACACTTTTCTCCAAAGTTTGTTTGAAAGCGTCACCTCTTCAAATTCTAAAACATCATTGTCTGAGATATGAATCCACAAAATGTGCCCTAAATTCCTACGAAAGGCAGGTCAGATGGGTTATCGAAGAAATGTGTAAAACCTGCCGTGAAAACTGTTATACGACGAGATTAACTGCACGTCATAAGATATGAACTTTTGTAGAACATATTAAAAGATATGTGGTGTAACTTTTACAAAAACACAAAGTACAGGTGGCTTTTTATCACCATTCCAATTTTTAAGTACTACGTATTAAGATTTTATTTTTGAAATTGAAAATTGGTGATAAAATTACTACAATATTTTTTTTTTAAATGAAACCTTAGAGCTTATTGCACGAGAGGTAACATCACGTTTCGACGTAAGTCAATGCGTGTTTATTATTAAGAAGTATTCTAAGTAAATTATTATATTGCATATGTACTTAATAAATAATAATAATATTTAGCCTATATATTAGTCCCACTGCTGGGCACTGACCTCCACTCACTATGAGAGGGCATGAGCTAAAATATAGTTCCCACTTTACTTCTTCATTTCAATAGTTATCAATTTCAATAGATAATAATACATATTCAAATAGAATCAGTTCCGAGAAGTCCCGGGATTTGAAGAAGGGAATGTCCACATTATTCTATAGTTTAGTCAAATAAACCCCTCAATTCCGATCACTGATAATTTAAGCAATGGTTTAAGATATACATAAGTTTAGTGGAAAAGGACATAAGTCTTCTTCTAAAAAACGCTCACCTGACCAATTAGTATATATTCCTGTGTTTTAGTTTTATAAAACATTAAGTAACAGTAAATTGTGGATGTTATAGCTATTATATATATGTATTATATTCTTATACATTTTCCGTCGTCAAAATATTTTTGCAATAAAAATTCATATTGTCTAATCTAGAACAGGTTGAGCGAGATAATCGATCTTGAATTCACCGCCCACATCATATTTTTTTGAGACAGCTTTATTATATTTTGTAACGGTACGTTTTAAATTGGACAAAACTGTTATTTATAAAGTCACAGATATTGTACCTCACTCGGTTAGAGATGGGCAGTGGGTGAAAATCCAATGAACCCGCTCTGGTTTTAACCCATTTTAGTTCAAAATCGTGGGCGGAAACGGCAAATACGGAATTGGTGTATAATTCCATACTTATTATAAATTTTTATGTAAACAAACTTTTTCGGGGTTTTAACCATGTTTTTTTCCCAAAGCTCCCGGTTTTAATCCATTTCTGCCCAAAATTGAGGACAGAAACGGTGAATACGGAATTTGATATAATTCGTACTTACAAATTTTTAAGCAAAAATCTTTTTAGATGAAAAAAAGGCAGCTCCACACACTACCTGCTTTGCAATCCTGTGGATTCTCACTACTAAGAATGCACATTATGATTCACTTTACATGAAAATCGATTCAAGTGTATACGATTTAACGTTTTTTTGTATCGATTTATTTCAGTGCTATTTTCAAGCGAATCGAGTCAATAGAAAGGCAAATCGAAGCGTCTAGATCAGAAAGCAATAAACTTTTTGTAACAATATCATTAAATTTGAACAAAACTCGATTTACAACAAATATTTAGTTGGAAATAGTTTTTGCCCTGGATTCCGGGCATTAATGAGTTTTAACCCGATTTAAACTCGACGTTAAGAAAGCGCCGGGTTAAAACCCGAGCGCTTGCTCTTCTCTGCCTTGTTAACTATTCTAACTGGCATTTGGCAGTTTTTTTTAGAGCAATGTGTCTTCGCTTTCATACTTACATTTTAAGCTGAAAATCGCTCTACCAATGAGTTATATTCATATTTAAAAATGTATACGACGATTATCTCAAAATCACCTAATTCCTAGGAAGATGGTTTAAGAACAACTGCACATATACCTAAAACGCAAAGCCGATGAATCGTATACAGGCCGATGCTCGGTGTCTTTTTAACCAACTTTTAAAAAGGAGGTTCTGAATTCGACTGTACGTTTTTCTTATGTATCATTTTTTTTAATGTCACTTGATATTATAAAAAAAAATCGATTGTAGCTCAGTTGGTAGAGCGGTCGCGCTGGTATGGCACAGACGCAGGTTCGAGTAGTGTCAGATCGAATGAATTTTTTTTTGTGTTCTCTGCCTTGAAAATTATATCTGGTCGTTTTTAAAAAATACCGACTATTAACACTATTCTTATTCGTTCAGAAAAGTTCTCCCTTTTTTAGTTTTGACTAGGAGCCGGTATGAAATCTATAGATGCCGATGGATCGCTATAAATAGTAGAGGGGATAAACTTACCTAGGCTTGTGGTACGTTGGATTGCTGTTAGTTTTGAGGATGTCCGCGTTCGGCACGGACGTGGGTAACGCGTGCTCTCTCTCCAATTCGCTCTCATAGCTCTCTAGTGGCACGTGCTTCCCGGGCAACGGATCCGCTGTAACAAAAGAAAAGAATGTATTAATAACAAAATATTTTATTTTATTTAGTTATCTTTTACATAACCAATTATACTTGTAATATACAAACTTGATTATTTTTTTGGTTTATTTGAGTGTTGCAACTCTCCTGTGATGGCAGGAATATCATAATTCATTTATTTGTGAAAACATAGGTTCACAAATGCCAAAAAATACACATGCATTGAGAATGTCATCCTTTTTTGAAGCCGGTTAAAAAGAATAAACTTGTGATAACAATTTTAAACTAGGTTTAAGCCGAATGACGCTGCGGCGCACGTCACACTGAAACGTGAAGAAAAAACGCTTGTGAAAAAACTTAAAGCAAAATAAATTGTATGAATAGTAAACTGCCTAAGGTTGACATTGTGCCTGACTTCTCTGAAGTGGTTACGAACTATAAGAGCAAGTTCCATTCTAGTTGAAAGGAATATTTCGATGTGAGGTCCCAGGAAAAAGGAATCTGGTACAAAACCATGCAGAGTGAGCCTCCTCGTGTCCCTTGGTTTGATCATGTTAAGTTACGCACAGGTAAAATTGTCAGCGCACATATTCTACGATCCGAACACGTTACATTAAACAAATTTTTGTATTTGATTTGAAAGGTGAACTCACCGAATTGCCAAGTGCGTGGGATTACTGAGGATGTATATCATTTGCTCATGGAGTGTGTTCGGACGGAGCCTATCAGGGCGCGGTTATATACACAGGCTGGTTTCCCTACATTTAATGTTAGGTGGTTTCAGTCTGTTTTGTCGGAGCCAACATGTAGCGCCGCGGAGATTTTGTATACATGTTTGGTTAGGAAATATTTTGATCTATCAGTCTGGATTTTGTTAAGTGTTTTCTTGAGGTATTGTTTTTCTAATGGGGCTGACATGTTCAGTAACGATCAAAGTCCCTAAATAAATAACGAGTAAAAAAAACTTTTCTCTGCGAGAAACCCGAGAACCTAAACGGTACACAGAACGAATCGATCGTTTTTGCAACACAAATTAGGTTTACCCCACATGAGAATCCCGTAGGACATTATACTATATTGATTATCGTATTTAAGGAGTGTAATTTTAATACATAAAAAAATACAGTCAAATATTAATTTCTGATCAAACATCAATTCAGGAACGGTAAACTTTGAAAACGATTAATTGTCAATTATAACTTAATAGATAACTTTATGAAATTTAATCTAAGAAGTTTACTTTGAATCGATAGTCAATAATAGGCGAAATTGGGACAATAGGCAGAGTCAAACATAATCTGGGTCCATTCGCCAGATAAGCATTTGCTAGTGAGTATAATACGGACGAATACACGTGTTTAGCCTGGTGTTAGTCAATCAATACTTGAAGTGCCTATTCGATTTAGTCGGATTATTTCAGAGTCTAGAAGTTATGTTACATCGCCCAAAACTAAATGTACAGATAACACGCTTGGGTTTCAGATTTTGAACTTCGAATCGACGAAGAGACTCTTACTAATACTAGGACGTCATAAATTCATTTAAGGGGCAAACTCCGGTTGATGTTCAAAATTTGCCAAATATGTGGTTTAAAACTGCAGTGAAACTAAAACTTTACACTGTAGTGACTCGTTTTGAAAACCCGAGTTTGAAAATATTTTTAGTAGCAGTAGAGCTCCATGTAATATAAATAAATAAATAACGCACACACTCAACATAGCCCCGCACTAGGGAAACCCTGTGTCGCGGGTGCCATGGACATACACATAGACAACCACAAATTACACCCAAACTCACGAGAGAAATAAATGTAAGCCATACAAACATTTCTCCCGGCCCGGGAATCGAACCTGGGACCTCTGCGTGGCAGTCCGGGATGGTAACCGTTCGGCCACGGAGGCAGTTAAAAGATGTGAAAGAGTTCGTCTAGAAGAACTGCCACCTCACTTATTTCTGCCGCCAAGCAGTAATGTGAGCGTAAATGCGTTCCGGTTTTGAGAGAAATGTCTCAGGGTGACAGGCGCAGTGGCAGTGCCCCTCAGATCCTTGTGATTTAAAACTCAGTGTGCATCCACAGTGAATGCGCGGTTGTAGCGACAAGACGTATTTCAGGTGTTACCAATCATGGACGAGGATTTGATATTTTTATTAGATAGTCCGATCCTGAGATGTTGAACACAAGAGATGGTGTGCACGAAACAAATAAAAAAACAGAGAAATAAATGGTGAATTTTTAATTTGTATGAAGAATTGAAACTGTACCCTATAAAATTTTTTTGCCCGTGTCAACATTTGACTACATCTTGAATAAAATATCACCTAAAATCACCAAAGATACAAACGTTCGCAACTTAGCGCCATGCGAGCAACAAAACTGAACTGCAGTTTTATTTTGATTGTCTCTCCCGATCGGAAACTGCGACTTTTCCGAGTCGTGGCGCATAATCCGATCGGAAACTTTTGACAATTCTAATCGGAACAATAGTTGACTTAACTAACAAATTAGAAAGATATAGTAGGAATCAGGTTCATCTTCTCGCTCAGAAACCCATCTGATGTCGAGACCCGATCGGACCGATTCTGATTTTAATCAAAATCAGGACGGATACTCCCGCCAACCTCGAACTAGATCGCTTGCTAACTAGGCTTAGTACGGCCATAGCGCGTGGACAGGAACGTTTGAAAACTACGCGCGCTATGGACGTTAACGGCGCTTTCATATGTTTGATACTTTGCGCCTGTCATCACAACGCACTAGACTGGCAATGTGGACGCACACTGAAGAGGCACTGTAGCTGGTATCGACAGGCAGGTCGCTTACCACAGGTTGCACAGCTTGTTCATCCTTGGTAACATAAAAAAATTGTAAGTGTCGTGAGGTTGAATTAAAATTTTTAAATATAAAAGGAGATGTGACGGTGGTGTAACTTTTTTAAGTCGCTGCGCTCGTGATTTGCTTTTTCGCTTCCTCATCTCGCTCCAGTCTTTCATAAAAACTAGTAAATTTTTTAGTAAAAATATAGTCGGGATCGTGAAGCAGGGAAGATAGAATTGACTTTTGGCATTCAACATTCGTGTTGTCAATATTAGAAAAACGGCGACGATTCAAATTGGATTTTTCCGCGTTTAAACCGGAAACCTATTTAAGTCAAATAATTTATTCGCATGTCACAGTAAAAGCATATTGTAAAATAAAAGTTCGTATAACGTAACGCCCTGTAAGAGAATGGCGCATCGGTCCAGCGTGGTCTAAACTCTCGTCAGAGAGGAGATCCGTGCCCAGCAGTGGGGCGTTTAAATAGGTTGATGATGATTTAGCAGCAGTAGTGTCCTTTGTAAAAGAGTTCATTCAGGGAAGTACTGCCACCTTACCTATTTCTGCCGCCAAGCAGTAACGTCAGCATTGCTGTATTCCCGTTTTGAAGGGTAAGGGGTGCTGGTGACATTACAGCTATATGGGACTTGTCAACTTACGTCTCAGGGTGACGAGCGCAGTGGTAGTACCCCTCAGATCTTTACGATTTAAAGCTCTGAGTGGCACTGTAACTTGTTATGGACACGAGTGTAGCTTACCTTCAGGCACACGACTAGTTCGTCCCGCCACTTGATATTATAAAAAAAAATGTATAATACCATTTTGTTAGCACAAATGTTACCAAACAGGATGTTTATGAAAACAATAAGGTTAACTGTTTCAGTGAAAACTTTAAACTAAACAAAAACAGTTAACGATTGCGTGACTTTTATGCGTGATCTGTTTAAAATAACAATGGAGACTGTTTGAAAGAGGAAGCACTGTTTGTTATGCAAAAAACATTTTGTAATATTTTTGTGGTTTTACGCAACATTGTATTCTGTATTTAATGATCTTTGACTTTGGGGTTAGCTCGATAGTTGAAGGATTTTGGGCTTTATGCCAAAGATACTAGGAGGTTAATGATAATGATAAATTTACTTTTTGTGTATAATATCAAGAAACGGGACGAATAAATCGTGCGCCTGATGGTAAGCTTCACGCCTGTCCATAACAGTTACAGTGCCACTCAGAGCTTTAAATCGCAAAGACCCGAGTGTCAGTGGCCACTGCGCCCGTCAACCTTGAGACATAAGTTGACAAGTCCCATGTGACTGTAATTTCACCAGCACCCTTAACGCTCCAAAACTGGAACACAGTAATGCTGACATTACTGCTTGGCGGCAGAAATAGGTTAGGTGGCAGTATTTCCGTAAGAAATTTAAAAATGTAATTAATAATATATAATGGAACTGTTTTTTCTGATCTAAATTATGGTATGATAATAACTATAACTTTTTTATAAAAAAATACCTCAAAAGTTCGCCATCGGGTATCGTAAAGTGCGCGAAACAGGATTCATTCCCTAGTTAGCTGTTAGAGGTGGAATACTTTCTTCAAATTTAAATGGGACCGATCAAATTAAGTTATCACGTAACAGACACACAAAAAAATACAGTCGACTTACGACCTCGACAAAAACTGTAACAAAAATGAAAAACAATAAAGAACTTTCTATTCTATTCTATTCTATTCCTTTTCCTTAAGTTTATGCTAAAGGTATGAAATAACTTATGCTTAAAAGCAGAGTATAAATACGCAATTACGTAGAAACTTGTCTACACAACAAAATTGTAAACAATCGTGTCAAATTGTAAACAAATGCAGTGTCCCGTTTCGATCATATTTGTTCTTCCCACAGTTATCGTGTTCCTATTTCGCTGGAAAAAGATAAAGACCATTGTTATAATACCTTTGTTTTAAAAGGTGATAACGTCAGTCGCCTGACTAACCGCCTTAACTAATATTGCTATATCTATATCTAAAAAAGAAAGATACATGTGGATTACTAAGGACTGCCTTTTTATCGTACCAAGTGACGGGAAAGCGAACAAGTCGGTAACGACACGTCTATCCATAACCTCCTGAGGCCTGGTGTACATTTGGAAAATGTTACAATACTACTAATCACAACTCGTCGTTGTGAGGAAAAGCTGAAACTT